CCTTTACACGGTATATTAAGTTGCCCATGAAGTTTGTAACACCGCCGAAGGAAATGGCGCCTGTCCGTCTGTCTATCTGTATATACGCTAACTGAAAGGCTAGTTTTTGAGATATCGTTCTGAAATTTTACAAACTGACTGATCAAAATCAAGTTTTTGTATGGAAACATTATTTATTTGTGAAGGGTATTTTAGTAATGGCAGACACACTTTTAGATATCGTCCACATCGGTCCCACTGTGCCATATTAGATAATCATTATCGCGACTAAGCATTCAACTAAACGCAAAACGTAATCTTACCAACAATTACAGCAATTTACAACTACAACTATGATGCAAGCACTGACATACATTACTAATGCACCAACACATTAGCGCTTAGTCACTGCGATTGGGTGTAACCAAAACAAAACAATAATCACCAGCACTTTCTAGAACTGCAAGAAACCAGTCATTGTTAAACCAGAAAAGATAGTCCACCAAACCGACCATTGTCTGTCAGAGCCTCCATGGCACCTACTGAGCGGAAAACGCCCCTACTTATTATAGCTGACAGTCATAACCGTAAAATCGTTTTTTATGCGCCGCCTAAACAAGTATGACCACTAAGGGGCTGGATTTGGAAACAATACAAAAGCACCTGCTCACCCGAAAACTACAACAAATGGAGGCATTTGTTTGAGGTTTTCCTTTCGAGTTAAGCAAGTTGAGAAAGCGAGGAGGAGCGTAAGCGCCAAACAGTGACTGCTGTTGGTTATAAGCAGCTTCGGAGTAGAAGCAGTAGGAAGCCATTCATTATAATGTCAATGTCTTGCTCGGCTTCAATACAAGGAGCAAGCGCACACAAAAACGCATGAACACAACTCTAAGCACATACCGTTACATGTGGCATTGACTGGTATTTCTGATGTTATTTTTATACGATGACAATGAGCAATAAACGCCACACGCACACACAAACACGCGTGAGAAACTGAAAAAGGACTGATAAAAAACGCGGAAAAGTGAAAGCGGTGGGCAAACCAAAATTGTATGTTTGTACACAAATATGTTTATCGGTGAGGCGCACACAGGCAGCCATCAGCCCACTTGATGCCTTGTTGGTAGCAGCAATTTATTGTAGTCAATACAACACCACACACATACAAACATGTGGAAACTCTATGCGCCGATGACGACGTTGGCCGGTGGACGGATGGCTAGCGACCTGACGAGCGCAAAACGATTAGCGATTGTTGCCTTTGCTACTGGTTTTCCCCCGTGACAGCTGAGTGTTTTGTTTTCGTGCTTCTTCTTCCTGTGCTTTCGCCTGCTAATGCTTTGATTTCGCTTTGTTGTTGCTTATTTAATAGTAGCAGGCTTTCAAAGGTATAATTTGCGCTGCGCTGGTTTAGTCTGCAATTTGGCGGTTGATTAGAAGGGCTCTTCGATTGAACTCTGCTCAGCAGCGCCGTTTCGAGTCGCGTGGAATTTGCATTTGTGTGTGTACGTGAGTGCGCTTGTGTGCGTGTTGACATAATTATATTCATGGTTAATTGCAATGAACAAATAAATATTTGATAGAAATTTGAACACAATCGTTTTGTTTTGACTTGGGGAAGGACCCAGTGATATAAATGAGGCGAAGCGAGACTTGCATACAAAAATGTTAACAAACAAATATTAGATTAAGAGTGGTGCTTTATATGAAAGATATACAAAAAGATAATAAAGATAGTGTGTCAAAAGGTGTCAGCGTACATTTCGATAGAAAATTTGGAAAGGTAAGTCTCAATTGTATAATTAACTCATAAACGTTTGTTAAGTATGCCTAAATTTTATTTTTATAAATGTTATAATTTTTGCAATTTTAATTTAAATTTTTGCAATTTTAAATTTTAAAGAGCTTAATTTCACTCAGTGTCATATCATTTCATTATTTGATTGGTCGGTTGAAAAAAACTGAAAACTCACGTCGCAAGGTATTTGACCCTAAGCGGCCGCTTTTAAGGGGTTATAACCACCTGTGAAATTCAAAAAATTGCATTTTTGTCTCAAATAATTTGAAACGTTTTTCTCGAAACGCTTCCTTCTGAGTAGGTTAGGAAAGTTTTTTGAAAGTTTTTTTCGAACAACTAAACCAATCAACTTGCGATTTCCTCACGACCTCCTTAGATATTTTTATCAAGTAATACTCGAACATATTGGAATTTTGATATTACAAATAATAATTTCGAGTTTTCAAGTTACTTGTAGCGTAAACTTTTTGACAAAAAACGACTTTTTTTTGGGAAGCCGCCATTTCATTGAAAATCCAAAATTTGACTAAATTGTCTCCAGACACCTTTTTTCAGCGGTGCTCTTGGAGATCGGCTACAGGATCAATGAGTCCACAACACATTAATACACAAAATTCCAGTTCATAATAATAAATAATTGAATGGATATTTAAGCTGTAAAAACTGATAAGTGTGGAGAAATGAAGGAAGGTAACACAAATGTTTTTGAGTTATGCGAACACGCACATAAATATTTACACAATTATTCGGACGGATAGCGTTGAACTGAATGAGGCGTACATACAAACACACACTTGCATATACGAGTAAATATTTATATGCATTTATGTACTTTCTGTGTCCCAATGTTTGACATTTGAACTATGCGGCCTTCAGTAACGAATATAGAGAAATTTATGGTTACCAAAATAGCACGACCGCAGGTGCCGTCCCCAACAAATGCAATCCAAACCGCGAAGCAAGTCGCGTACGCCATTGTACATTAAATTCTGTCCGTCCTTCTATATTGATTTTTTTTTTCATGAATTATAAATACAGCCGTGCTTTGATAATTGTCGAAATTCGACGCTATTTCTTTTTTTCTAGCCGCATGGATTTCGCTTGCTTCGTAATATTGAGATTACTCATTTTAACCATTCGGAATAAAAATATGTAAAACACACAATATTTTATCTGATTTTTGGCATTTTTCTTGTCAATCAAATGTTTACACTATATATTTGAATCTTTATGTTCCGCACTGGCGATATGATATAAATATATACCATATATCTACAAGTATATATTCTCTGTTGCCTAGTTGTCTACATTATTTTGTATGCCACAAATTTATTGTGGCGGCCAATATCAATTCGAGCTAATTCGCTAGGTTCAAAAAAATATGGAACCGGGAACTAAAACCTTGGTCTGACGACAGCAAGATAGTGGAGGAGAAAGTGCCTAACTGTTTCCACTTCACCTTCCTCATTGCAACTTCGACAAGTTGCTTGCTCCAAAATGTCTAACCTAAACGCGTAAGTGCCAATGGGGCAGTGTCCAGTTAAGACAGCAATCATTGAGGCGATATGAGCCTTGCTAAGAGCTAGCAGTTCAATGTATCTTTTATGTTTCTGGACCAGAAGACTTTCTCAAGCCCACAGGTGCTGGTTGCTGACCAAAGCTTGCTGGGTTCCAAAGACCGTATGTACGAAAAAAAGAAACCCCTGCCGTTGCCATTCTGATGGAATTTGGCTAAGAATGCATTTTATTGCAAGCTCAGCGGCTTTACAATTTCCAACGATTCCGCTGTGGCCAGGCTGTCAGACAAGGTTTATATGGAAATAGCTTAATGCTACTGCTGGTGAAGTGATGCACTACTTGACTAGCTTTGACTCACTGTCGGTTCAAGGTCTGTATAGCAACTCTGCTATCAGAGTGGATGCATACCTTAAGCCGCACTTCCGTGAACATCTGCTGCTACCTTGATGGCTGCCACTTCTGTTTGAAAGGCACCGCAATAGTTTGGCAGTCTGAAACAAGAGTTGATTGAGAGCTCCACCCACTTATCTTTCGGAGGTATGTGCGCGGAGAAGATGCCGCTAGGAGTAGGCTCGGCGCAGTGGTCCAAATTAGCAAAGAGTACATAAAAAACCTTGCACCAAAGCCAGAATACCCTTCACAAATAAAAAGTTTGTAAGTCGGCTATATTTGTTGTGATCTGAACAATTTGCTCAATTCAGTAAAGAAACTTCAGACAAAAAAGTCTTTAGTACAAAAACTTGATTTTGATCGTTCAGTTTGCATGACAGCTATATGCCATAGTGGTCCGATATCGGCTCTCCGAAAAATGAGTAGATTCTTGGGGCAAAAGGACATGTGCAAGATTTCAGATCGATATGGCTGAACAGACAGACGAATATGGCTGTATCAACTCAACACGTTAATTCACAAAAAAAAATATAAAAAAAATATTCATGACATAGAATTAATCGATGCTTTGGAGAAACACATGCGTTGCTACAGAAGGTGAACTTTCCATTGTTGCAAAATGCTACCGATGCAAGAACATAATTTAATTACAACTTTATAATACATACAACAAAGGTCTCCTGTCAATTAGGCGAGCAAATAAAGCATGCAATAAACTAACAAAGCAAATATTAATAACATTCCAAAAAAATTAATAGAGTAACTATAAAAATGTATATGGTAAAAACATAATGTAATAACCACCTGTTGGCAAATAAAAATGTAGAAGACCAACAAACGACAGACAGCAACAATTACGCAGCGTTAAATTTGTCACCTAACTAAAATATTGAAGTAAACAATTAGCAGTTTTCTCAACAACTCGAGTTACATATTCAAAAAGAAACAGCGAATATTTAAGCAATCAGCGACAGTGCTGCCAAGTTCTCACAATAGAAGTCTCCAAAAAGATTTATAAATGTTTGAAAGCTCCCGCCTCCCGCTGTGCACCACCAACTTTCAAAAGCTTTACAAAAGCTTTGCTAACACACCTGTCGCACTTGCCGGCAAGCACATTTGCATGTATGTGTATACTTACCGATATCACACACATACATACAATGTTTCATGTTCACAGCAGTGACAACTTTGCAGCCCCGATTGGCGTGCGCCAAGAACCGCTGGCGGTAGGGTGCTACTCGCACGCACACACACACCCCTGACCAGCCAGCCCGTGAGGCAGCTACTGTGCCAACCGCTCCGCTATCAGTTCAGTTGCGGTTGAGGTGTCGTACGTGTTGGGCACAACGTAAAAAACGCTATACAGCAGCGAGCTCTGACAAAATTCCGAACTACTTGGATTGTGTTTTTGTTTTGTAGTGCGTTTGCAGGCAGAACTATCAAAAAGCTAACGGTATTTCGCAGAGCGTCGGGTCTGAAGTAACTTTTCCCCACTATTTTTCCTACTAACAAAAACAATTTAAATAAAACAGTGCTCAAAAGTAAAAGCATAGTTGGCAAAGCGAACATAGTGCAAATATTTGAAAGTGTCTGTGTGTTAGTGCAACTCTGTTTGCATTGTAAATGAGTGCAACTCCTGTCAAAGGAGCTTCGCGCATAAAAAGCGCTACACCGTGAAAAGTAAACAACGGTGGAAAGTGAAATGTTTTGAAATTTGAATTCAAACTAGCCGAGGACACGCGCCGCCGAGCGCAGCAGGACCGACGGACAGGCGGCGAAGTGCGCGCTGTTCCACTTATGCTCGTCAGCAAGGAGGTCGTGAAGTAAGCAAAGCAAAACGGAATATTTAGCTCAAAGAAATGTGCCACTAAACGCAGAGTGTTGGCCAATATTTGCATATTCAAGTGTTTACTGTGTTTTTATGTTGATTTTGTTGCTGTGTTTTGTTTTTACGGTATTCTTCAAACGTTTTTGTTGATTCTCTTGTTCTTGGTTTTTTTTGTTTTTTTTTTTTTGGTTGCCGTGTGCACCGATGCAACCGGTAGACTGCAATAACTTCGTGTTGCCATTTCAATTAATGCATTTTCAGTTCGATACGGACATTTGAGAGCGCAAGCTGAATTCTTAAGCAGCAGAGAAAGCACAATCAGACGCCGGTTGCATTGTCTGATGTCGCATTTTCGATATTTTTGAAGAGCAAATGTTAAGCGATTAAATAAAAGAATATATTAAATAATAAAAGTAAAACGGTAGTTTGATACAATTTAAAAAAAATTAATAAACATAAAGAAATTTTTATTTTTATTTTATAGTTAATACTGAAAAAACAATAAAAATTGTGACCGCGCACAAAAAAACTTCATTATAAAATATAATTTTTCTATATAATATAATTTTAGTAAAATATAATCTAATTAAAATAAATAAGAAATAAGTTTCAAAAAAAATTTAACTGATTGTTAAATATTTTTTTTAATAAAAATATAATTATATTTTTTATAATCACAATAAGGAAAAAAGACACAATAGTAAAAAAATAATAAGTTAAATTAAATATAAAATCTCATATATGTATAAATTTTTTTATCTTAAATTAAATACATTGTTATATTTTTCTATAATTTCATAACGGAAATAGCAGAAATATCTAATTTGCAGAAATGAAAAAATTAAATATTGTTTACAATCTATGTAATTTACGCCTGCAAAGGCAGATGTTTGAATACTCAATTATCGCTACTAAGTTGTAAATGATATGCTATTTATCAAAATTACTTAAAGTCAATGAATCAAAATTAATGGATTATTATGACGAGCTTAAATTTGAGATTGGAAAATGGAAATGAAAAAAGAATGGCCTAAAATTTTGTTCATTTATTGTAAAAATTCTGATATCTTATATTTTTATTTTCTTCGCATTTGAAGTTTTCTGACGCAAACCGAAATTATTGCAAGAAATTCTACTAACAACTCCGAAGGGAGTTCACTTTACTTTGAGTGAAAAATTTTAACAACTATGCAACTTACAAAATTTTACATAAAATCAAATTAAATACAGCTTAAGACACTGTAACTTGCTCTTGCATAACATTGTGTTGGTTCTTTCTTCGTGAATGTCAAGCGCTGCAATAAATTGAATGAATTACACTCACTTTTGTGCTCTAATCAAGACTTAGCGCAAAAGAGGAGTGTATGTTTGAGATAATCTCAAGTATATAACAATAAACCCAAGAAATGTCATTGATCAATAAGAAATGGCAGAGACATGCAAAATAATAATCATCAAAAAAGGTTAAAATACACGATAAAAAATAATTAATTGAATAATAATGCAATAAAATATTTATACTAATAAATTTAGTGAGACATTTAACAACAATAAATAAATAAAAATTCAAAAGATGTATAACGGTTCATTACGCTAGACAGAGCTCGAATATAAATACATTATTTACAATAAAAAACCAAGCTAATTACTTTTTGTCACTGACCTATTGATAACTTTTTGCCGCAATATCAACCTTCTTCAGCATTAAAAAAAAATTTATTTTTATTGCAAACATATTTTTTATAGATTTTATGATAACAGCAAAGAACAAAGGTGAAGCTTTCAACTTAGCAACAGAGAAATAATAGCTCACGAAGCAGCACGAAAATTATTTATTGTAATTGTGATTAATAGGTCGAACTGTCGATCGTCTGATTACAACAGCTTACACTTAAATGACTAATCAAAATATTGGTCCATACTGACAAATTATCGCAATCACAATTAATCCATAGAATTTCGTCACATAATCTCCCATGCAACTAGTCAGCTGAAATGTAACTTCAACAGTCTCTGTTTACCTTATCAACCTAGCGAGTTAACAAGTTGACAGTTGTAAACATCGTTGACACACGTCGTCACATAAATAGTGATAAGACGTCAAATGCATGAGAACAAAAATATTTGCTAACAACGCTGCACTCTCAGCAGAATATATGCTCACTAGCAAGGCCGACTAGCTGATCAAGTGTTTAAAAGCCATTGTTTCACCAGCCAGCGGCAGTAAAAACTCTTATCAGCAAGCATATATATTTTTGAAAATAAATAATAATAATCGAGCACATAATTGGTGATTGACTATTTTTTTACTTTGTATACATATATGCACTAATTAATATTTGTTTATGTATTTTGACATTTTAGTTTTATTTTTAGCTTTAAACAATCTGCTGGCATGAGTAACTGATACTTAAAGCGCGTGCAGACATTTGACAGCTCTAAGCATCTAATTGTTTACTATGTTTTAATGGGCTTGTGTTCAATTTTTTATTTATTTTCACTCACGAGGCTTTGTGTTTGAGTTTTTACAGCGTGCGCATGTTAAATGTCAAAGCAGCTGTCAAGTAAAGCAATTCATTCATAAATATCTAGTGGATTTTGTATAATCATCTAACATTTGCAACTCACGTGCAACTGTGCTATTTATATTTACAAATATAAGAATATATATATATATATTTCGTATATATATATATATATAAATATATAGTAAGTACATATATCTCTACAAAAAAGTAGGAACATAGTTTTGTGTTAAGAATTGCTAATGCCTTGGCTATGACGATAACCACTTCCCGCCAAACTTCTCATTTAGACTTTGTCCCATTCAATAAAGATACAAATGTTTAATTTATATAGCTAGCTCCATTTCAAAACCTTTTAAGCTTAAATTATGGCATACTTTTGTAGTTATTTATATTTCGCTTACTGTTTACACGTATATACCATATACACGTATTTGCTATTTTCCCTCATGTGGGCGCACACACACATTTGCGTATGAAAACATAACATTCCGCTAAAAAGATAACAATATTGTCTAGTAGTTTTATTAGAGCATTTCCCTTTATTACTTTTTGATTTGTGATTATTATTGTTGTTGCAAGCAATAGCCTTCAATCACACAGGCATGCATAGTTCAGTATGAGAAAAGGAAATTCGCAAAATAACAAAATCAAAAGGTGCTAATTTTAGAGTTCAACCAGCAAGCAACAAAAATATACGCACATACACACACACACACAAACAAACAAACACAAAATGTGTATTTTTTAAATTTATTTTGGCAAAATCAATATGCTTTAGGCATTAGCAGTGACTTGTGTAGACATTTGCTGGCAAGAAGCGGAAAGTTAATTAGGAGAAGTGAAAAAAACCTGCTTGCGTCAAAAAAATTTCAAAACTTGGCAATTCTGGCAGATTTTGAAAAACCGCCGAACATCAGTCTATTTTTCACAGTGACAAGTGAATATATTCCAATTTTATTGCAAACGGCTTTCACTTAAATTTGTAAGATATTTTGAAAAATGCTGCTCAACTTAGTCACCTGGATTTATTTATTTATTTTTTAAAGCTTACTTTAATGACTAAAGTGCAAGTGACAGCTAAAAAGCAAATGACTAAATTTGGAATTATACATATATACTTTTTTTTACCTGAACAGAATGATCAATGTGACGAGCTGCGTCAATTTAGTCACGCTCGTCTTTCTATTCGTCTGTCTATACACGAACTAGTCTCTCAGTTATCGAAATATCGTTCCGAAGTTTTGCACACATCTTTTTCGCCTCAAAGAGCCGCTCATTTGTTGGAACCGCCTATATTGGAACACTAAAGTTAGCTTATAGTTGCCATAAAAACTGAACGATCAAAATTTAATATTTGTATGGAAAACTTTCTTATTTGACAAGATATCTTCATGAAATTTTGCATGAATTATTATCCAAGAGAACGTTATAATCTTCGAAGAAACTGTTCAGATCGAACTACTTTAGCATATACCTGCTATACAAACTGAAGGATCGGCATCAAGCTCTAGTCTAGAAAACTTTTTTTATTTGAAGAGATATCTTCGTGAAATTGTGCATGGATTGTTTTTCAAGGCAGTGGTATAATATCTGAAGAAATTTTCTAGATTGGACACTAGGACTATAGCATATAGCTGCTATACAAGCTGAACGATTAAAATCAAGATAAAGCCTTTTTATACACTTTTATGTTATAAGTAATACACCTGTGAAGGGTATTATGGCTTCGATGCGGCCCAAGTTGACGTTTTTTCTTGTTTTTAATGAGTATTTTGTATGCATATATATTATAATAGCAATAAAAAGCTGTAATTTTCCACAACAATGTCTGTGGTCTAATGAAAAACACGTAAATACATTGTAGCTGATAAGCTGTGTGAGAAAACATGAAAACTCAGACATGCTTGCTGTCAATAAATTGATAATAAAGCAATATTTTTCACAATAAAAGGCGTCCTTGACTCAGTAAAATAAATATGCAATAAGGTGCAATGCAACTAATAAATATTTTAGAAGATTAAGCCAAATGCATATAAAATGTGGGATATATAAGTATGTATAGAGATTCTAATACTTCTTTGCTAGGTTATACCAAAGCAAGAGAGAGATTTTTGAAATCAAACAATGTCTCTTCAAAATCTCTTTGTAACACGGAGACTTGAAATTTTTATCATTTACGCCCAAAATTGTGTGACATTTTCTAAACCCAAAAGGCTTGAAGTGTCAAGGCAGCAAAATTCAGCTAATTTACTATCAAAATTATTCAAAGGTTTTTTATTGCCATAAACAAATTAGTGAAACATTTCTACAAAACTTAAAACCGCAAAAGTAATTTTGAAGCGTTTGAGTGAACGCTCGTAAAAGCGAATTTAAAGTACATGAAATTAATAGTTCGCCAATTGTCTTCTAAAAAGTTACAAATGTACAGGTGCGCATAACAATGTTCAATAAATTAACTATGTCAAATACTAAACGTGATAGTAATTTACAAAATTCGCTTTTCTCGCAATTAAATTTGTATGCGCTCAATTTAGACGCGACTTGTTAATGCAGAGATACGAAGCAAACAGCGACAGTTTAATAAGCACTAAAAAATATACATATCTATAACACATACAACAACAAAAAATCAGCAAAACTGATTGAAACGTGACAACAATTCAAAAAGCCTAATAAAACTGCCCCACAGAACAAAGCAGCACTATAAATTAAACAACAACAACGTGCAAGTATTCAAAAACAATAAAAATAACAAAAATTATAAAATTATTTTATTATAAACAGCGAGAGAATAACAATTTGCTACCAGCCAGCCAGCTTCAACGTAGCATAACTCAAAAACGCCACAAAAAAAATAAACATTCGCAAAGAAAAATTAAAAAAAGCAAAAAAAAAATACATTAAAAAGCATTGAATACCAGCACACTGTCAACAACGCTGTGAAACGGTCATGCATGATTTGTGTATCACCATTGTGGAGGAGCATACGAAACGAGTTTGTCGAAATTTCGCATTGACGCACACGCGTCGGCGCACCATCACCATTGAGGAGGAGGAGGCGCCATCCAGGCCACAACAAAAACAACAACAGCCGCAGCAGAGACAGCAAAAGGCGCAGTCGCTGCCACCAATATCGAAGTTAAACGCCAAAACAACAACGACCACAACCACAACAACCACGAAAGGTCCCAACACCACCACCAACAAACGCATCACACGCGAGTACGTGCTGCCCAGCTCCACGCTCAGTGAGTCTACTTCTGTGACCGTAGCAGTGCCCACAAATTCGTGTATCAAAGTGTGGGCCGAGGAGGACAAAGATCAGAACTTGTTGTTGCACATTAGAAAGCAGCGCAGCGATAAGCCTGGCGAGCGGGCGCAGCAGCGCAGCATTTGATATACAGACTGCGAGCGACCTGCTGGGAAGGCGCAGCCGCAGAAGGGCTATAAGTTGGTGATCGATTTGGATTGAAGCGCCATTTACGGCAACAAAATTGTTTAAGTAAGTGCGTGTATTATATAAAATTGAATTTGAGAAAACCTTTTGTTTTTATGCATATTTGTCAAACTAAAAAATGAGATAAATAGGACACATAAATAAGTATTTAAAAATTACTTCATCTATAACTGATCTTTGAGTTTTTGAATTTTACTGGTGTCCAGCAGAGCGGATATTTGAAATAGAGAACTGACAGCTGTTTCTTGAAAAATTCTGTGTTCCCCTACAAATATTTCCTTCTTGTTTCTCCCTGGATTCTTGTTGGAAAATAACATTTTGGTAAGCTGTAGTCTGAGGCTTCTGGGTACCATTTTACAAAAGAAAAATCCCTAAGTTAGCCGAATAATTCACATTTACGGAAAAGAGGACGACTTGACAATGAAATGTATGGTCACAGGAGCTTTTATACTGGACTAAAGGCTTTAGTTTATGCACGAATATAACTTTTTATGCAAGAAATTTGAAGTATTGCAGAATTACGATATTTTATTTTCTAGATCGTTTTTTTTTTTTTTTAGTTCAGGGAGTTCATGTGCTGACACTCTAGTATTAGGCCAGTGGTGAGGCCTTTGAAAATGGTGAACAGTGAATAAAATCATAGTAGGATGAAGCTCATTGTAAACAGACTCTAAAATAACAAAACAAAAATAACATTATTTACGAGCGATTTGTGGTCGGGCAGTGAAACGCGAAATATTGAATTTATATGGGTTAAAAACGGTTTATCTCGATTACGAGCTTTATGTAAAACAAGATATATGACAAGGTTGTAGGTAATACAAATGTATTCAACTTTTATGCCAGCACTTTTTTCACATAACCTCAAAATTTATATAAATTATATATTATTATATTTTTCTATATTTTACAATAAAAAATTTACTTTCACGGTGTTTGGGCTAAACTTAACTTCTTATGCACGCGATGAGCCTAAATATTCTGTCGGATAGCACGCCAAAGCTGTATGGAGTAAGGCGAGGTGAATCATTTTGTCGTTTGCTCCTCTATTGGGCAGCTTTTGCCAGACTCATATTGAAAAATTTCCATAGACATACTCTTGGCGTACCTAGCGAAGCTCAAAACGCTTCATCTATCTATGACGATCTGGTGGTTTTAGGTTTATTTGTTGCACAAAGGATGAATAATTGTCCATGCGAGAGCCATCGATTTTGGATCAACCCTACAACCTAATCTAACCTAACCTTTTTTTGTCCCAGATACACCGTAATTCTGTTTGATTTAAAAAATGTATTATATCATCTTATTTAGACTTATTATTGTAAAAAGACCCAAACTTTCGAAAATTCTCATATCAAAATTATTCGAATAAAGTCAAATTAACAGTTATGTAAACATAGTGGGCACAAAAATGGAGCGCTCATTTATTATATAAAAATTTTGACTTGAATATTCCATATGGCAACTCTCGAATGTATGATTCAAATTTCACTTATCTCATCGAAAGCATTAATGAGTCCATTGTTGAATTAGAGCAATTAATTTGAATTCCGTTAAATGCGTAATAAATTGCAAATTCCATAAGCCTTAAATATGAAAACTCCTAACTGCACAGGCAATGCGAAAAGTGCTAAGCGAAAGAAACGAAAACTTGTTTCCAAAGAAATACCTAAGCGCCTCTTGACAAGAGAAAATACAGTATCATAAGCACATCACGCGTTATCACAAATAATTTTTTTATACAGACCAAAATATATATATATATATGGATTTACATATGCGAGTATGTGTGTATGTATGTGTATGTGAAACATTTTTAATTATTTAAAAAGATAAACTGCTGACGATCAGACACCACTGACTGCAGAGGAACACGAACTTCAATTCAAATATTTGCGCACCTACCTATACGCATGTGTACATTAGTGTATATGTGTGCGTGCTTATTTGCCTGTTGATTACTGTACAGTTACACCAATACAATGCTGCTGTATGAGTAATTTTTAAAGTAATTGTGCCAACCGATTCGATAAGTTTATTTGCCTTTTTAATTATTTATACAGCGGCGCGCAGACATACACGCATACACACACGTACACTCAGAACGATGAGTTTGCGTTTTATGCTGCTTTTTACAACGCGCGTTTAATTCTTGACTTTTTGCTCACACTCCAATTACGGTTATTTTTCCTGCATTTGCCAATAACTTTCAAGTGTTGTTAAGTGTTATACACTCGCCTTCTATGCCTATGTGCTCATACCGACAATAAGCACTTATTTGCACAGACTTTAAAGCAACAATTCGTACGTTGCGCCTGCTACACTTAATAATTGTTTCATAAATGATCGCTTTAAAGCGCCTTAAAGCACCCGTACTTAAGTGAAGTGGCAGTTGGAGCGCACCAATTGATATGAATCTGTGTGTCGCGCTGGGCGTTATGATTAATCGACGCTATGCGACACACAAAACACACTCGCATAAATATTTATGAGCGTAATTGTTGTTTTTGTTGCCGGTAAATTCAAGTATAATTAATTAGTAATTGACAGTTTAAATTTGTCAGAAATCAATGAGTCTGAATTCCCAAATTGCTTGTGTCCAGTCCTCTACAGCGCGCGACGGCTCACACGGCGTATGAGTGTTATTTCGTCGGAAATTGCACAGACAACGCTTTTGTTTGTACGCGTGTACGCGTGTATGTTTGTATATTAATTAATAACTTTCTCAGCTATTTTTAATACCAAAAGCCATTTACCCTTATAAATTAAATATTAACAAATATTTGCCGAATCTGCGGAGCGAACTCGCTTTTAAGACCAATTAACAACCTACTTTTATAACCGTAATATAATCGCAGCATATTTACAAAATGTATATGTAAACTAACGTGTTTGCGTTAAAAACTTGCCGACAAACTAACACATAAGATTGTTAAATAAATATTGTAATAAGGTAACAAAGTGTGGCTGGTTGCAAATGTGGCTATATGCAAACTGATATGACTCTGACGCTATTAATAATAATATTGAAAATTGCGAATGTATATATATAGTGTAACATAGTTATTTTCAGAAAAACGCTTAGCCAATATTAGCGCTTGCATATCTTTCAATGCATAGAAGTTGCTTATATTAATATTTTATAAATAAAAATTAAATTTTATTAATTTTATTTAATTTTTTATTAATATTTTATTTATTTTAATTTTGATATCAATTAATTTTAATTTTAAAATAAAATAAAATTACTAAAAAAAAAAAATTTTTTGTTTTACTTTAATACTTTTAGCTTAGTTTTAATTTTTAAAATAATTTTAGTTTTGATATTTATTTTTTAATTCTTTATTTTAAGTTTTAATGTTGTAATAGTTTTAATTTTGACATTAATTTTATTTTTAGTTTTGACTTTAATGTTAATTTTAGTTTACATTTTAATTTTTGATTACATCTTAATTTTGGATTTAATTTAAATTTAGCTTTTATTTTATTGGATGTTTAGTTTTAATTTTAATTTTAACTTTTATTGCTATTTTGATTTTAGTTTTAATTTTAATTTTTGGTTAATTTAATTTTTAATTTTTATTTTAATAATAATATTAATTTAAATTTTATTTTATTTTACTTAACTTTATTAAATATTAATTGGAGTTTTGTTATTAATTTCAATTTATTTAGTTGATATTTTAATTTTTATTAATTTTCTTAATCTTAATTTAAACTTAATTCTTTTTACATATAATTTTAGTTTTAATTTTAAATTCAAATTAAATTTTTATATTAATTTTATTTTAAATTAAGTTTTAATTTTTATGTTATTTTATTTTATTTTATTTTATTTTATTTTATTTTATTTTATCTAAAATTTTTATTTTAATATTAATGTTAGTTTCAATTTTATTTCATTTTACTTTATTTTATGAAACTTAAATTTTAGTTTTGTTATTAATTTTAATTATGTTTGTTTATATTTTAATTTTGATTAATTTATAATCAAACTTGAATTTTTTTTAATTAAGTTAGTTTATTTTATCTTTAATTTCAATTTTAATTAAAATTAACTTTAATTTTATTATATTATATTTATAATAATTTTAATATCATTAATTATTTTATTTTACTTAAATTTTATTTTATTATATTTTTATTATATTTTCTATATTTTTTATAATATTTGTTTAATTATTGCATTACATTGTAACCAACTATCGGCATGTTATGTCGCACTCATTACAGGCACTCGTGCCAATTTAATTTATTATTCATTTAACACAAAATCAATTATATATAATTTTCATAATAAACGCATTAATGCCAGACATCGCATTTCCGGCTATAAAATAACAACAAATTATTCCTATTTGGTTAAATGTGCATCATTATATCGTACACTCATATGCACCTATTTATATACATATGAAAGTTTTGTGCAGTAGTATTGGATACGCTTTGGATGGTATAATGACCAATCACGCGTGTCATAATGTAATATATAATATAAATAAACAAATATAATTTTATTTTTAGATACAATTATTAGCGAAGTTGTCAATCACACACATATTTAGCATTTATCACAATACAAACCTTTATTACTCATATTTAATGGCTAACCACGCATTTTTATTGTGACAAATGGTCATTCATAAATTGACATATTTATTTACAATCTCCCGTACATAGAAGCATATGTTTATATAATAAAAATAACGCAAAAAGTTTGGTTTGACGCGCTGGCTACGCTCTTCCGAAAATAATAACTTCATTCCAATGTTTTCGGAGTGTTGAGAATATGTTATGCTAGCTTCTGATTTTCCTCTCAGTTGCTAAAGTTGAGGCACCTACTGCGGGGCTCAGCACACGCACTTATATAACACCCACTTATGTATGTACAAGCTGTGCGCGATTTACCGCTCTTATCAGTTCGCTATGTGCAGTAATAAACTGCGCACTGAGCTCATGATATTTTTATAAATAAGATACTTTTATAAATATTATCTAGATGGCACAATACTGGGATTTTCGTATTATGTACGAGTATGTTGCTC